AACGTATTTTAATTGATAAATAGACAATAAATGACTGAAGCCCAGTAATTGATTTTGATTTGGAATTGAAACACAGTCAGGAAAGTATGTACAATGATAATATATAAAGCAAACTGCCCCAAAAAACACTCTTTATAACAGTGAGCTTCGTGAAGCTTCCTGCGAATTCATGGCACTCATTTTACGTCCTGAAAAGAATCAGCCAGACAAATTTAACAATGTGGTGCTTCTCAAGCTCAAAAAGGGCAAATTCCTGCAAGCACTTGGCTCAAATCTGTAGAACTTACCAAAGACTTTGGACCAAGAAGCCGGAGGCCTCCAATCGGGATAATGCTTGGGGAAAGTCTCCCTGCTCCAGAACGTATGCAACACCACTTTGTACACAGTCAACTTGTCGGGCTGGCAGGACTCGAGAGGATCCTGGTTGGTCGCGGCCCCCCAAACGACCCCCAAAAGGGCCCCGCACAATAACAGCACTTTTGTCATGTCGCGAACACCTTTAGCCGAAGAAGTTGCGGACTTGCAGCGAGGCTGCCGATGACTGTATCGACTTCCAACACGTGTGGGCTCGCGGTTGCGACTCTCAGCGGACGCGCTTGAGCGGGATCTAAAGGCTGAGTCGGGATAGCAGGAACGAACCCGGTGAAATTCAGGGAATCGCTCAATTCGACTTCGGATCATTCGCTCATCAACAGACAAGTTGACCATTGGTTCAAGCAGGAGAATAGCTGCAAGAGGTCGACTTTGATTTTGAAGTTTCCCAAATTTTGCGGATTTTAAGTGTAATTGAAGTTCAGCCGAAGAGTGCAGTTGCAAGTTGTTGCAAAGTATTTTCACTTAAAATTTGCAAAAAGTTCGAAATCTTGCAAAATCGAATCGTCACTCAGTCGGGCCTTATCAAATTGTTTATGATATGAAAATCTTGCGCAAAAACGTTTAAAAATTGTAAATTTAGGCCGCTTAGATCGGCGTGTTTGACAGTTTCGAATTTTTATAACCTAACCTGGGCTATTAAGACCCTTGTCTTAGCAGACCAGGAAGTTTGAAAATTTGCAAGAAATCAATGGGCAGC